CACATAGGACTGTGAGTCAACTACGACGTACTTATCGCGGATTCGCTGCTAACCAACTTCATATGCTAATTTAGGGAAGAGTTATGTTTGCATACTTGTATACTTTACCATATATATTTTGATTGATAATGGCATTTCAAGTGATTGACTATTGTTTGACATCCCCGGTGTGGCTGCACTTGATGTGCATGTTGACAAGGTGCCTACCTGCCCATTACCCACTACCACCTCCATACTGGCTCTAGGAGACAGTTGGTCGTTGCTGGAGGGACGGGGGAGCACGTTCCTTGTGGCCGTGCTAGGCTCGAAGAGCGGTTCCATGCAGTCAGTGTGGAGCGGACTACGGTCCAGCCACCGCCTTGTGTGCGGTTGATTCCCAAATACAGTGTGCTTGTGTTTGTCTGTGAAGGAGTGGGGGCCGGCTCCGTTGATGAAACATGGCTCCCATCCACATGCCTCTCGGTTTTATTCCTTCGGGTTTACACTGGATATGGGGTATGTGGTTTGAGCTGTGGGTAGTGCAGCGCAAGCCACCCATGGTCCCTCTGTAGTCGTAAGTCTCTTGTGGCTGGCCACAGTGACAGACAAATCCTAAACCGGATGCCGCCAATCATGCATATGAATATATATATATATATATATATATACCATTTTCATTTTAAATTGGACGTTTTGCAAACGACTTTGAACCTTTTGCAATTCACTTTGGACTTTTTGCAAAACAAAATGGACTTTTTGCAAGCTACTTTGGGCACTTTGGATTTTACGCATAAAATCAGCAATTCACTTGCTAGCAATGAGGAGTAAGGCGACTAGGCGATGTTCGGACTACATTGTAGTCTTGCTGATGCAATCGAATTCGGTAACCAGGGAGTGCCACCGCGCGCCCCGTGAACAAGCACATCTACAGCGTATGTGACATTCTGTCGACAGCTACGACTCTGCTCATTTCTATGTCTGTGCAGAGCTCACGTGCTAGCAGGGGGGGGGGGGGCGGGGGTGACGGGGGGGGAGGGGGGGGGGGGGGGGCAAGGACTATGCACCGGACCGCAGTAGAGCGTATAGATCTATATCTTCTTTTTTTCCTTGTGTCTGTGTGTCTGCGTGTGTCTGCTATCGTGAGCTACGGGAGGGGGGGGGGGGGATAGTCGTGCGTTGGTTTGGTGTGTGTTGGGGGGGGGGTTCTTCTTCTTATGCTGGGCGGCGTGACGAGAGGTCTTGTGAATTGGGCGTGATGTGAGCAGGGAGAAATTGAGGAGCACACGGAGATAGACAGATGATAGTGTCGAGTGTGATGTGGGGGGGTGAAGCAGAGAACGGGGGGGGGGGGGGCGGGGTGGGGGGTTGGGGGTGAGATTAACGTGTGAGTCTAAGAGGTGGAGTTGTCGATGAGTTGTGAATACACAATGGAGACTATCATTGTGTGGGGCATGGGAGGAGCAAGCACTAAGGAGGGTGAGCTAATGGAAGAGAGGATGACAGATGGCCACTATGGTGATGCGATAAACATGAGTACTAAAGTAGAGGAGAAAACGTGAGGGTCAGATTGTGTATGAGGAGATCAGAGATAGAGACTTGCGTGTTATAGAGTGTGGATCTATCAGACAATAAGGTAGATTCTAATTAAGACAAATCAGAGTATAGCAGTAGCAATGAGGGCGAAAGAATAGAGACAAACACATATGTGGTGTGACAATAAGAGTTATTGTCGCAGAGTGTATAGTGAGTGTGAGATCTGATGGCAAGCACTGTAAAGAGCAAAGGTAAGAAGTGGCGGGGCAGGACAGTCAGATGTGTATAGGATGTGTGAAGGTTGTGACTGTGTGAAGTGGGGATATATGTTGACAATGGTGTTGTGAGTGTGATCGAGTGGGGTGAAGGAGGGGTGAATGTGATTGGGGGGAAGGTGGACACATGAGAGTGGTCACTGGAGGTTGTGGTACAAGGATGGCAGTGGACAGTGGACAAGGAGAATTAAGGGGATTGAATTCACTTGACGTAGAGTTGAGAGTTACACGTTGAGTATGTGATGGAGGAGTTGTAGTCAATTTTGTTAGAATAGGACAGGCGTAGATAGTGACATAGAGACATCTGATGGAGGGAATTGGATGAAAGGAAGAGATAGTAGGATTGAAATAGGAAGTAAGGAGAATTAAAAAAGGTGGTGGTAGTGTATGTTTAGATTAAGAAGGTTAGAGACAAATGATTACACACGAGTGGGTAGACAAATTAAAGGGAATTAGGATATAATAGTGGGTATAGAATAATGAGAGTAAATTGAAATAAAGGAAGATGAATTAGGTAGATGAATGTAGAAAGTAGTAAGGATGTAACAACACATAGTGATGGTGGGGAGCGAACATTTTTAGAGAAATGGAAGTGAAAGTAGCGGTGTAAGAAAATTTAGTAGGGGGAATGTGGTAGGGGAAGTACACATGTACTGATAGATGGGGGGAGGTAGGGTGGGTAATTCGTAGGGAAGATTAAGGTGATGAAGATTAGGATATGAGATTAGGGTTGAAGGGAGGATAGTGAGTGTAGGGGTGGAGTATTATAACATAAGCGTTTGTGAGCGAGAGCAAGAGCATGGGGCACTAATACAGAAATCTGGAAGTGCGTTAAGGACAAATTAAAGAAAAGTAAGGCATCGAGCACAGAAGGACATCCGGAATATGTTGCTACGTGAATGTGATGCAAAACAATGTCTGGTAGACGAATATAAAGTTGAAAATAATCGTTACACACAATCGACAGACTGTCAACTATTACGGGGGGGGGGTCAATGAGGGAACAAAGTGGGGGGGGATGATGTAGGAGGACAAGAGTGGACAATACATCAAGTAGTACAGAAGTTACAGTAGTGATGTACACATGTAGTCATGAAGAAGAAAGGTCGAGAACAGTGTGAGATAGACAGCTAACAATGAGCACTCATAGACATAGAGCACGGTTTACTACGAGTGTGTGGACAGTAGAATTGACATGAAATAAGTTTTGACACATGGTGACTGTATCTGGGGATACGGAGTGGGGTGGTGGGGATTAAGGTGGTTTAGTATGGGTATACATTATACTGACAGGTGTGTCAGTTTGTATAGGTGTTATGTGGTGTGGGGGGTGGGGGGGTGGTTAAGGAGGTTAGGGAATGGGGGGTTAGGGAGGATATGAAGGGGATATTTAAGGGGGGGGTGGGAAGAGATGATAGGGGAAGAGAAGGAGGTGGAGAGGAAGTGAGGGGTGAAGGGTATGTGTAGGGGGGGGATGGAGAAGAAGTAGGAGTGTAGGGAGGTGGGTATAGAGTGTAGGGGATTGGAGGTAAGGTAGTGGTGAAATGAGGAAGAAATTATTGGGGGTTAAAAGGAAGGGTTATAGAAAAAGAATGGGGGGTGGGGATGAGGGGGTGATAGGGAATGGGTGGTGTGGTGGAGGTGAGGGGGTGATGTGGGGGGAGAATAAGTAATATAGGGGTTAGGAGGGGTGGATTGGGTGTTGAGTGTGGTGTTGAGGCATAATGGGAGGGGGTTTTAAGGATGAAGGGAATGGGATTGGAGGGGATGGGGGGGGAGGGAGGATGAAGGGGGGGGTGTTGGTGAAGGGGTTGGGGGGGGAATGGGTGTTGGGAGTTGGGGGTGGGGAGGTTGAGGAGGAGGTGGGAGAATGGGTGTTGATGGGTTGTAGGAAGGAAGAGGTGGTGTGGGGAGATGGTGTGTGTATGTGTATGGGGGAAAAAGAGTGGACACGGTGAGTTTGGTAGTGACTCAGTAGGTGAGAGATGGAGATGGATGTACATTAGAAATTCAGTAACAGTAGGTTCAGGCTATGTGAAGTCTTTAGCACACAGTGGGAGTGTGATTATGATGATATGCACTCATGGACATTAGAGGGTGTAATGAGGTGGTGTGGTGTTGGGGGATAGAGAACGCTAGAGTCACTAGTGGAATATGTAGAGTAGAGATACGCGTGGAATAACAAGCTATTGAGTGACGTTATGAGCAAATATCACACTAGTAGGGGATTCAGGACAGTGATACGCGTGTGGCAGACGAGCAATGTGGGGTGGGATGTGCTAGATGTAATAGAATTATGGCTGAATCTAGGTTTGAGATGTTGAGGAAAAATTTTAGTCAAAGGATGTTAGATAGTGAGAGTATGTGGTTGAGACACAGGGGGTAGAGGAATTGTATAGTGATAGGATTTTGATGGATTGACATGAGTACACAGCAGAGTCATAGCAGTGTAGAGGAGGACATACAGGATACGGTGTGTGAGAGATGTGGGGAGGTGTCAGATTTGCGAGAGGTAACATAGTGGATGATGAATTGTGAGAGGTACGAAAACACAGAATATAATAAAGTTATGAGATGTGATACAGTTGATACAACGGGAAGAGGAAGATTGAGACAATTGTGATAGGATGGAAATGAGAATTACGAGATGACTGTGGTTCGCTATGGGATTTCATGTGAGGGAGTGATTGACATGTCTGACATTTTTCTCTTATCATTGACATGTTATGGGCTAAAAGTTTTAGTTTGAACAGAAAGAGAGAGAAAGAATTGTGTTAAGCGATATGGTGAATAGATAAAGGGATATTAAGGTAGGGGATGTATGGTGTAAGGAGGGTATAATTGAGTAGTGGAGGTTTTTTTGAAAGTGTAGAGGAGGTAGGAAAGTAGTAGAGTCAGGAAGATTATGAGTTGATTAAGAATTATAGAAGGAGGTTGGTAATAGTTAGGATACAAGGAGGGAGGAGGGAGTGACTTTTGATACTAGATATGAGAGAGAGTAAGTGTTACAGGGGATTAGGAGAGAATGTAACGAGATGATAAAGCGGACTAGAGTGAGTTGGAACTCTGAGTGCGTATTGCAATGAATACATTGAGTGGTAGAATAGGGGTGAATTAATGGGAGTATAGTGGAGTATATACAGACAGCGAGATAAGTGTCAATTAAGATAGAAGAGTGTAGAAGACAAAATAGATAATACAACTCATAGTGACTCTGTACAGCGGTTTTGCGAAACTGATAACAGACGATAGGAAACATTGTGGCTCTGATTTAGCGCAAATAGAGTACAGAAGAGTACTTATAAGCGTTGTCGATGGCAGTGCGGTTACGAGGGAGGTGCATACAGAAGCTTCACGGTAATGCATTCACAATGAGATTGATATGAGCTGTTTCACGACTGACATTGACTTTTACATGCAGAGAGAGCACGATTGAGTGATAGAGGTAGTGGAGGGAGTTGATGTATACTTAACATTGACAAGATGAGAGATCATCATGACTGAGGCAGCTGGACTTGAGTGAATATCATAGGTGCGTATGAGTAGTCTATGTGTGGATTAATTCTGATATAATGGAAAGTGATGTGAAAAATACGAGGAGTGATAAAGTGTGATAGGACGTTGGGACACAATGATAGAGAGGATCAGAAGACAGACTAGAGAGTTAGTATTGGTAGTTTGAGCATGAGGACGTGAATGTTCATACATGCAAAGACGTGGACGTGAAGATGACAGGATAGAACTGTGTATGACAGAGGTATTGGGAAAGGTGAAAGGTAAATTATATGAATAGGGGGGGAGATGATATATGAGATGACGTGACGGAATTTAGTGGAATGAAAAGCATAATGGGACAATAGGAACACGCAAAATAATAATGTCATTGTTTAGTGTGACACAGTGGTGGGGGTGAGGGGGATCACATACAGGGATGAGATATGGAACACGTACAAGCTGTTCTGAACACATGTAAGTCATATCTATCACAGAATGATCGGATATGGCACATGTAAAACAGCAGAAAGGCTGAGATATGGGAATGTAGGTTTGTCGAGACCATAGATCTAGACGAGCGGTGTATGGGATTACACACTAAGACAATGGTGGCATGTGAATAGAAAGATGTTCACGCGACGAGGACAGGATGTACGGAAGAGAAGATCGAGCAGTAACACCGAAATAATTGTGAGTAAATTACATAGTCGAAAGAGGCAAGTGGCAACTTAATTAGCAGAGACGTGTGAACTTCCGTCTGTACAGTAATGATATCATCGAGAGCGCAATAACCGGTCTTACAGAGTCTGAGCGTTTAGAAAAAGACTTGACATAGC